AAAGCAGGAATCAGTCTGTTGTCAGTTCCATGAATTCAGTGAGGTCAATGAATTTGACCCTATTAAAGTGAAACATTTTTTCCATTATTCTGTGGTTTAGCATTTTTGTGCAGCCAGCCATATTACTGTTTTGTTATGTGTGACACCGATAGCGGACTGTCTCTCTCTCTTGCTCTCTGACTGTCCTGGCAAAGGGAGAGTTAAGTGGATTATAGTGCATGGGAAAATGTAGGAAGTATACCCGCAAGCTTGGACAGCGGAGGAGGGTGGTCGTAATAGGTAGTTTGTTCTTTCCTTGCACTGTATGCAGCTGTTTTTGTCTGTGTCAGAACTTAACCAGCAGTTTCACCAGTATTCTTCTTGGCTATTCTTGTGCCTTAAGAAATGGGTCTAGAGACTGTCTAAACATTTCAAAATGTGAGTAAAACATTTAAAAGGATGAAGCACTGCACAGTTTGAAGTTGAAACTTCATTTAAATGAGTCAGCTGAAATCTGTCAAGCAGTTGACTAACAAATATTATTTTACATAGAAATGTTGTAAATTAATGAAACATTATCAAGATTTTTTCAGTTAAAAAGTTTGTAGTGTGTCAGACATTTAACATTACATCTGCTGTCTCCTAATAAAACCATTGCTTTTCTGACAAAATACATCAATACAAATTTGTGATATTGCTGCGAATGTTGAGGAAAAGCTATTCAGAAGAATCAGAAATTCTCAGTGCACTTGGGACTTCAATTGAGCATCTCTTTTCTTCCCAAATTTTTACTTCTGTGATTCTGAGCAGGAAAGAGCTAAAAAATGTGTCCTTCCTGTTTTGCTGCACACTGTGCATTATGCTGTAGGAGACACACCAGTCTGTTGATTCTTGCAGTTGATTAGACTTCGGTTGTTAATGCAATACTGACAGGAAGGCAACAACCATGACTCAGGCTAGTCGACTGCAACCCTGACCGTTTGGACATACTGCTATATTTGCTGTGAAGTTACGGTAGTATAAAAGATGCCACGTGGACTGAAAAGTATACTTGAAAGCTGTGAACGCCATTTAACAATAAGCCCAGCAGTGTACTTAACAAAAGGACTTCTTTTTTTTTTTTTTACTCCACTGATTGTTGGGGGATTCATTAAGGTTAAAACTTGACTTGCCCAAGCACAGGGCCTCAGTCTTTGTGAATGCAGCTTGTGCATTGCTATGTATTTTGCTAACAAATTTAAAATTGTCCTGAAATTCTGAAAAGAAATCTTTTCAGGTCACAATATAGACATCTTTGCTACGTCTGCAAGACTAAAATTTTTACTCTCCAGTGGTGTTAAAGCCAAATTACCTGATAAAGGTAATTACAAAATCGCTGGTTGTCTAAGGGAGAGATACCGTGATTTGGCAAACAGATCTTTGAGAATGCTTGTCTACGATAGCAGTGACTTTTAAAACTTTATATTTCTTTGGTTTTATATTTTTTGAGAGTGGTTGGTGGTAGTTGTTGTCCAACCCAGTAGTGTGATGGAGGTGAAGCTGCTGCAGCTCCGTGTCCCTGGGTCCAGCCAGTAGCAAAGCTGAGCATTTGTTCCCAATCGGCACATATGCCCACAGCACATACATACATGGCTGGCCACAGGGATCGACACAGAGAAAACAGCGCTTGCACAACCACAAACAACACAAGTGGCCTGATCCTGCCTGATCAGGGTGAAAGGCATTTAGTGAAAAATATATTAATGTATACAGTGTGAATCCCTCCAGTAACTGGCCTTAGACCCTCAGTCTATCCAGGACTGACTCCTGATCCTCTGGTCTCCCCTGTTGCTGTCCTGGGTGTGCAAACCCACAAGGCTTGCAGCCCCAATTCAGTTTCTGGTACTCAAACCCTATCAGACATGCACACGCATGCACAGATGCGTATGCTACGGATCCTTCCAGTTACTGGCCTTAGCCTCATGGCAGCTGTCCATGGGATTGCTACATGCAAATGGGCCTTCTGGATAGCTGGTCCAGACCTATGGCCTTAACATTAGCCAACCCTCAAACCCCAGGGCCTCTCTGGTGGCTGGCTTGGACCTTCTGGTCCTTCCTGTAGCCATCCCTCAGACCCTACTCTTTGAGCGAGGTTTTTTCAGTAGCTCAGACCCTCTCATCTCTGCAGAGTCTGGCCCAGCCTTATGGCCTGTCTGATGCTGGGCTCCCAAGCCTCTTCCTCTATTTGCAGGCTAGTCTGGCTTGATACTTGCTACTGATTATGTGTGCCAACACGCACGCCCACACACTACGTGCACACATGTCTCTCCAGTTTCTGGCACTGCAGGCTCATGGGCCCCTGTGAGCTGCGGCCACCTTTTCATTTACTGGCACTTGGAACTCTGTGCATGCACATTGGATGGAGTCCCCCTTCACCGAGGAAAACAGAAATTGAGTTTAATAAGGAATCTGGTGATCAGGCACACAACATGGCCAGTCCTGCTGACTGGCATCCTGTTTACATGTGACCGGACCCTCTTATCTTCTCTCCATTTTTGCATTCTTGTTCCTCCCCTGTCCGCCTTGATCCCACAGTGAGCCTCACGCCCCTGCAGGCAGTAACCCCTGTAGGCAGTTGGTAAGGTGATCTGGAGAGCCTCTCCTGTTGTCTCCTCTGGATCTTCTGGCTGGCCCATGGGCTGACTGCTCTCCTGTATTGGGGCTGGGCCGGGGTGCTCCATGTGCCTGGGTCGTATTGCTGGGTTTCCTTCACCTGACGTTATATTCTGCTTTCTATTTGTGGAGACTGGCCTTTAATCACGTAACCTATAATAGATGTGAGCAAAATATCCCTCCCTAATTCTGAAGGTGACTATTCCTGTCTGACTAGTAACCTTGCTCAGGTAACAATGACTGTGCCTGTTTGATGAATAGATACAATACATCTCCCTAGCTTTGTAAAGCACTTGTGGCGCTTACTTGTAGTCTAAGCTTTCCTCAAATTTTATTTCAAGTAAAAAAATATCTTCACAAGTGGCATGTTGAATGATCTTACTGTGAATAACAAGAGAAGGGTGGTGTCCAATGATTCCAGTCTCTTAATTCGTTGTATGCAAAAGCTTTATGGAATATGGTAGCATATGGAATATGGTCAGTTGAGAGAGACTTCTGTTGGCAGGAAAAAGTCCTAGTCTAACATTAGGTAAATTACATACATATGTATCCTAGAAACATTTTTGTTTCAAACATGAAATTTATGAATCAAATCCAAGGGTGACAACCTTGTCACGCTAAATGGGATATTGGAAAGGCTTAATGTGTCAGAGAAATGACTTAGGCGTTAATTCAAGCTTGCCTCTTGCCTTGGTAGTCTGGATAGGATAGTAGTTCAAGGCAGCTAAGAAAAACACAGCTCTTGACAGCTGGAAGAGGAATCCCCTGTAATAATAATAAGATAATAATCTTCCAAACCAGAAAACTGTTTTTGAGATATAGTCTATTAATTTATCCTAGAAATAATGAGAGGCAGTTATTCAAAAAGGTACACAGTGGAGATCGTAAAGATTGTTCTTCAGATAAGCGCAAGGTCTTAATGTGCCTTGAGGTTTTTAAGAAACTTCAAAAGCCACAAAGATTAATGTAAGAAAGAATCTGGCAGAGAGAACTTGTGGTTTTATACCATTTACGTTCCCCAGAGGAGTGCAGATATCCCAGTCACAATCTACATTATCCTTTTTTGTACCTGGATATTTATTTGTGCAGACCATTCTTAAGTCATGAGATAGAATTACTTGACTAATTCCTACAAACACATGTATCTACAGGACAGGAGGATTTCCTGCAATCTCTACCGAAGAACTGCCCCACCCCCCTCAGCACTTAATGAGGCTTTGTGAAACAATGTGTTTATCTGGTCATTTTTCTCAAATGTTGAGGAAATAGGAAATTATACAGCTTGCCATTTTTGATGCTACATTAATCTATTAAATCTGGTATTCGCAAAACATTGGCCTTTACAGATACCAGATAACCTTACCAAGATGATGCTGATTCATTTCAAACTTGCAAAGCCAACTTCCAGTAGAGTTCTGAGCTGTAGTCCTTAAATACCTTTTCATCATCAAGCTTTTGTGTGGGTTTTCTTCTTGCATATCTTTCATTCACAGATACTGGCTTTCAAAGGAGGATAAACACTATTGGGATTGTGTCAGCCCAGCAGGAAGAGGGAGCATAGGAAGTCACTCAAGAGTATAGCCCTTGCTTTGCAATATTCTACTTGCTCATTTAAGATTTAAATCTTGATGTTGATTTCTTCACCAGAACCTTTGAAAGTACACTTCTATTGCTCTTTTTAAATATTTCCTGTATTATTGTTGCATAAAATGTAGCGATGGACTAGTAAAACCTGCTTTTTTAGTTGTTGATGTAGCACAAATCAATTAATTATTTGTCTTGTCTTTAGTATGAAGAAGGAAAACTTGCCAGATGTGATTATTTCTATATTGCATTAACCTTTTGTTATGAAACAATGGAATTTATTGGTGCTGAAAAGCCCTGGGTTTTGTTAAAAATCAGGTTTGCACCAAATAGTCCTGTGTGAATAGGGATTGTGTTTAAATGGACAATGTAACTTTGAAAATGAAGTGTTCTACTTGCTCTTCTGCTTGAAGTAGACAAAGGTATTGCAAAGATGGAGTTCTTCCCAGCAGTAAGTGTTGCCATTTATTCTATTACCTATGAACCTATACTAAGCCAAGAACATTGAATGATTGTCAAAGATCCCAGCCCCTCTGTTTTTTTTCACTCTGAAAATACATGGAGAACAAAGGCTGAAGGATGAGGACTATTCTTCCTCCAAAGAATCCTCCTGGTTGGCACCTAATACCTCCTCTTTTGTATTGTCCAAGTTCCATTACCTAGCTAGTCTTCTGCCTGGTAATTAACTATTTGAGTTATGTCTGAGCTAGAAAATAATCCATTTAACTTTGCCATAAAATCAGTAACATTTATATAGGTTATTTTTGTCTTATCCTGTTAGGTGTAAGAATTTGTCTGTATCTTTCTGGAATTCCTATTGGATGCTGCCCTCTGATGTTTGTGGAATGAACTGCTTTTGGGAAGCTGCTTTTAGGTAGGATCTGTTATTAAATAGTACTATATTATTTCATTGCAGACAGGTGTAGCAGAAGTATTTTTTTGCTATTTAGCAAGGTGACAAAGCAAAATATTTTGACTGCTTCACATGCATTCCACCTGCTTATATTATGGTTGCCTTTGGTTGGGCTTTCTCCTGTTCAATTAGGTTTTTTAAAATTGTAGACTCAAATGTTATTACAAAAAGTAGATTTTTTTTTTTTCCAGTTACATTGTTTCATTAAATAAAGACTTGCTAACATTGGTAAAAATTCTGTCTGAATAGAGTCTCAAAAGTTATTGATGAAGTATTTTTGATAAATAAAACTTTCTGCTCAATAAAATCTGGCAGATATGCTTAGTAGTTAAGTTCAAAGGTTTTTTTCATTCAAGTTACATGTTTTATAGAATTTGAGGAGGATATTTCATCCAAAAGCACTGTAACAACCATTTTAGAATGTGCTTAAAGATACAGTATGTTAAAAATACTGTGTTCTTAAAGTTGCATCTTTAACAATAAGTTTTCGATGTTTTGATGTGGTTGTTAAGATGCTTTAGGCCATCAGATTATGGAAGTAGCGCGAAAAGAATTGGAAGAAGCCTTAAGATACTTGACAGATATGTTCTCTAACCTACATAGTTCTCTTCAGCATATAACTAAGGTTGTAATTTAATTTTTATTATATTTAAAATTTTCCTGGTTATCCTTTGATATGGTTCTCTCTTCCTCTTAGTCTGCAATCTGAATATTTCTAGGGAAGCAAATGGGAAAAAAGTTTAGCTTCACAAGACCTAATGTATTTTTAAAAATTATGATTGTGAGAAAGACTTTAGATCTGTCCCCTATTCTTCTCTGCTTGTGTGCTGTCCGTGCTTTTTAAGCTCGTCAGTTGCCAAGAAGTTACTTGAAGCACTGGTTTAGATTGATTTTCAGTGTTGGTGGACTGCACCTGTAATTCAGGACTGCTGCATCTTTCTCCCTGCCTTTGGTAGCCAACGTGTCCTTTGGGCACAGGGATTCATATGACTTTCCCTTTGGCAGATTTTTAGCTGTCTGAATGGACTCAATTATCTTTTTTTTTTAATTATTCTTACAGGTTAGCTTTATGAAGTTTAGCATAGGGGGTTGAACCAAATGTCAGTGCTGTTGTGATGGATGGCATAGGGGCTTAGCCTGTGCTTAGTGGGGGGACAGGATGTGATTTAAGCTTCATTTATCCATGGACATCTGAGCCAGTCTAGCGCTGAAAGAGGAGAGGGTCTCGCCATCTTCTGACTCCATTGCCCCGATGATGTCCATGAACTCTCCGCAATACAATGTGATGCAGTAAAAATAGCAGAAAACTTCCTTTCTGGATGTTCTGCCAGGCATAAGGCAAGCGGAAACTTGGAAGAAGTGGAGAAACCCCATGCAATTCCTTTGCATGTACCTTAAGCTGTAACTTATTTGCTTATTATTCTGTTAAGAATGCCATATGTGGCTGTGAAGATGAGTCTGTTGAAGTATGCATTGATGATGGCATTACTGGGCGAGTGCAGTTTCTTTCATAGTGAACCTCTAATATTTCAAAAATCTCATGTTTATACATTTTGAAACTGGAAGAAAAAACCTCCTTAAACATGTAAAGAGTATGTGGTGTTCAGATTAATAATTTCAGATTGAGTTTGATTATTTTGTCAATATACTACTATTAATCCCCATATGTTGTGCTGACTGGTGCTTGTTGAATTCTTCAGTGAGGTGCTCTAACTTCAGAGAGGGCCCCCTTGCCTCCCCCAAACGTTATTTATTTCTTGATCTATTTGATAAGTTCAGTTGGTTTCAGAGAGGTGCAGTGCGTTTCTGTAAGAGAAGAGGTGGGGAAGATGGCAGAGAGGAGGAGAAAGTGCCCCCCGCTTTGGATAGCAGCAAGCAATTACAATGGCTCAGTGTCTGAACCTGCTGCCTAAGCCTCATTCCTTGTTCGTGGAATAACACAGAAGATAGTTGTAGTTTGGTTTCAGCTTTGGATATGAGTTATGATTTTGTTTAACTCTCAAACTAAATATGTGCATTGAAGAGTTTAGACCTTCAATATCATCTTATGCTTCGAACATGGTACTTAGTAGTTGTTCTCAAGTTTGCAGTCAGATTTTTGGAGGAAGAGGAATGAACTTAATTCCATGCAAGTTTATAAACCACAGCAAATGAAGTCTAGCTTTCTTGTTTCCTGAGATTGTATGTGTAGGGTCAGTTCAATATTTTTCATGATGATAAATCCTCTTGAAAACTCTTTCTGTAAAGAGGCAACATTGTGGTTCTAAATTAGGTATCTTTTCATTTAGAAAGGAGTCTGCCATAGTGTCTTATTCCAAATAATGTGATCCTGGGTTGACTAAGTCTTTGTCGTCTTGTTCAGTGCAGTTGTTGTAGTGAGGTGCAGAATAAAGCTGGACTCTGAAGAGACTGGGAGAGGGACATAAGAAAAACCTAAGAGTTACATATCTGATTGAAATCTTAGGATAGCTAACTCCACTGCCTATAGATGTGCCAACAAAATAATGGGAATTCCAATGAGTTTGCTTTTAATAGAACTGGCAGAGTCTGGTCATTGAACTGCACTAACACTTATCTTCAGTCTTCTGTTTGGCCTGGTTTAATCCATAAAAAAAGAACAACACTATCCAGATGATAAATCAGTTTGTGATTCTGGTGTTCTATTCTTGCATTTTCAATAAACTAACCAAATGAGTTTTTTCAGAGGACCAGATCGTGTAGCCAGAATTTCTTTGCAATAGTAGATTCACAAAATTTTTCTTAATGTTACAATGACTCCTTTCCCTTTACCTGTGAAGTTTTCCAAACATTGGAAGGTAGTCCTTCAGCTTTTGGATTTTTAAGTCTTTTCATTGAAAAACCTCAGCTTGTTTTCTCTGTGTTTCTAACTTGAAATGCCAGTTGGCTTTTTTCTCTTGGATACCAGAACCACAGGGATTTGTTTATCCATGAGAGAAAGAACTTGGCATAGACATTTTTGAAATGCAGCTTGCTACGTCATTTCCTCTGAGTAGCTGTAAGTGTATGAAGTGTGAAGCAACAGCTGATGTTCTGCGGATTTTGTAAGACTCAAGTTAGTTTAATAGAAGTGTTGAAGACCCATAGAGGAATCTGGATTTTTTTTTTTTTTTAGGAGAGGTGTATAGACTTCAGTATGACTCATGCTGTAGCTAATTCAACATAATTTGAAATTGATGAGCTCTGAGCAATTGCTGATTCCAATAATGGATAATAAGGATCTTGCTTCTTTAAGTTAATCAGTGTAAGAATGATTGCCTATGTTGTATATGGGAAGGATTTTGGAGCTATTCTGCCCCCACATTTCTTATCACTGTTCTGATTATCAACATTATTGAGACAGAACATCTTGGGTTGTGCTGTTGGTACAGAATATTTGTAAGCTTTCACATTGATAGAGGAAGCATAAGATCATTTTTATATATAGTAGTGTAGATTTTATAGAAAATTTAAAAAATGCTGGTAAAGATGACATGAGGCTCAGGTTTTGTATTTTTTCTAGTACACCTTTCAAGGTGCTCAGTGTCATCTAGCTGGTATGGCTGCTTATTTCCTACTGAGACTGATTAAGAAGAAATTCTTAGGGGTCATCACTATGGCTATCTGACTTGCCTGATTTCAGTTGTTGGATGTTGCTTCTAAGTGGGTTTTAACTTGTATTGCCTATTAAAAAAAAAGTTTCACTATTTTTTGAGTATATTGAGGTCCTGGTGGTGTGGGTATATTGAGATGAATTGTGACAGTCCTGAAAAACAGAACTTCTCTTCTAAACTAGCTAGCTAATTGGAAGATGGGGCTTAGGACTTTTATAGTCAATTTTTAAATTACTAATATATTGTAACTTCAAACCTAATCTACTAATTGAGTTTGTAATTGAATAGATGACATTTGGACATCTGCGCTCATATCATTAGCATACTTTTACAAAATAAGCTCTGATAATGACCTATTTTTAATTCATTGCAGTAGTAAAAAGTTAAGAAGCTCAGTAAAAACTAAAATTTTCATCACTTTCAAATCCAGATAATTTCTGTAGTTACCTTGATCCTACTTCTAGTAAGTGTGGGAATGATTTAACAGTTGCATTTTAATCAGTGTAGGCTTTGCCTTTTCACTCTGCCTATTTCCTTTTTCTGGTGATTAAAAGCTGCTGGGTTAGGCTCCTTAATGATCAATTGATTTAGATCAAACACAAAGCATTAAAAGAAAAAAGGATGTGATAAGTAAGCCATCTGTATTGTATTTACATATCTACCATTTGTTTTTCTCAGGCAAATCATAGTGCCAGGTTTGAAATAATACAGGTTGGTTACATGAAAATATTTCCCCTGCATATTCTAATGAATATAATCTGCATTTTCCAAGCTAATTGTCAAAGAAAATCACTTGTATGGATAAAATATTTGCACTGATAATGTGGTTAGCTTTTTATACTGAAGAAGAAAACACATTTGCAGTAGGCTTCTGTTTGTTCTTTTTGTAAGTGTAAACAGCTTTAATACAGCTGAGCCTGGCAACCTAGTCCATTTGGTTATAATATCAAGGAAAGTTAGTTTAATGATGTTGTGGAAGGACTGAGAGACTTTATTAAGCAACCTTGTTTAGGAAACTGAATGTTGCATGCCTCATGTGTTACAGACCATATGGAGAAAAAATCAAAGAAAAGCAAGGCTATAGCTCTGTCAGAACCATCGTAGGAAAACTTGTTTTGATGTGGAATAATTTTTAAAATGTTTTTTGTAACCTACAAAATAATTCTTACATCCTCGTACTACCATTACGTAATATGGTGGTGGTTGTACATAAAAACTAGTGGTGCAAGTTAGGATTGTGGCATCTTTCTCAGAAAATGACAATTTTACATTGTTCAAAACTCATGCAATTATATTAAAAATGGTAAATCCTCAATGGGCCAGAGTAAAATTTGAAAGGACAACTGACAT